ATATATATATATATATATATATATATATATATATATATATATATATATATGTATATATATATATATATACATATATATATATACAGACACATACATACATACATACATACACACAGACACACATAAAGACGAAAAAACGGGAGAAGCAGTAGGGAAAGAAAGAACAAAGGAAGTGGAGAAAGAACATATGAAACAGAAGAAGAAAGAAAAGGCAAAAAAACAAGAACAGGCAAAGAAAGAAAGAAAGCAGGACATAAGGGAAAAGAAATGAAATAGAGTGAGAGAAAGAAACTCAAAAGTATATAGAAAATAAAAAAGAGAAAGAGGGGCTCCACTCATCGAGGACATTCTTGCTGTACGAAACAAATTTAAATCATTGCATTTTAAAAAATAATTAAGAAATGGAAAGAAATCGGAAAATATGTCCCCCCCCTCTCTCTTTCTCTTCTCTTCTCTTTCTCTCTCTCTCTCTCTCTCTCTCTCTCTCTCTCTCTCTCTCTCTCTCTCTCTCTCTCTCTCTCTCTCTCTCTCTCTCTCTCTCTCCCTCTCTCGCTCTCTCGCTCCCTTACGCTCTCTCTTTTCCCCAATCTCATCAGAACCTACACCGACGACGACTATGATGATGCAATTAGCGAGTCTGGCACGAATTCCAAAAATTCCCCACGTCTTTCACTCTCTCTCTCTCCTTTTCTCGTTCCCTTACGCTCTCTATCTCTCTCGTTCTCTTACCCCCCCTCTCTCTCTCTCTCTCTCTCTCTCTCTTCCTTCCCTCTATCCCTCGCTCTCTCTCTCTCTCTCTCTCTTCCTTCCCCTCCTCTCTCTCTCTCTCTCTCTCTCTCTCTCTCTCTCTCCTCTCTCTCTCTCTCTCTCTCTCTCTCTCTCTCTCTCTCTCTCTCTCTTCCTTCCCTCTGTACCTCGCTCTCTCTCTCTTCCTTCCCTCTGTCCCTCTCTCTCTCTCTCATCCCATAATTATCTTGGAGCAGGGAGGGACTGATTGCCTAATGTCACGATAGAATACTATATAGACTGTTCATAATAATTTTCTTTTAATTTTAACTTACGAGGCTTTCTTTACCTATCGTGTTCCTATTCTGTTTCCCTAGTGTATTTTTTCACGTTTTTTTTTTTTTTTTTTTTGTCTTTTCTATCTTTCTTACATTTTTGTGTGAATGAGGAAAGGTCAGTGCATGTGCTTAAACTAGCCTTTGCAAAAAGTAGAACGATAGTTTAGTCGATAATTGTCTAGAGATAGAGAGAGAGAGAGAGAGAGAGAGAGAGAGAGAGAGAGAGAAGAGAGAGAGAGAGAGAGAGAGAGAGAGAGAGAGAGAGATGGAGAGGAAGAGGGAGATAAAGATAGAAGAGAAGTGGAGAGGGGAGGGGAAAGAGAGAGATGGAGAGGAAGAGGGAGATAAAGACAGAAGAGAAGGGAGGGGAAAGAGAGAGATGGAGAGAGATAAAGAGGGAGAGAGAATGCAATTGAATGTTCAAAGATAGAAAGTAACCCGAGTGGGTATTTTAAATTATAAATTATAATTATAATTATAATAAATAACAATAAATCTTAATGCTTTGGATGAGAGAGCACTATACAATTCAACGTTTCGTGAATAATATGTACTTAACAATAAAAAAAAATTGAATGTTACATATTACAACTAATTTATCTATTGCAAATTATTTATACCAAGATACTGATGTTTTATGGGCATACTATGGTCCGCAAAAGAAGGGCATCCTGGTGAGGTGTTTGTATTGCTGGTGTCAAATATTTATGGTGTTTTTGTAGGCGGCTTTAACCCACACGGCCGCCCACGCCGCCCATGAATGAGAGGTGTTCCTAAAGAGGATGTTTTCAGGTCGGCTTTCACTCAGACCTTTGGAATTCTTGGGCATTTTCCTTTCTTTTCTTTATCTCCTTTTCGTTATTTCTTTCGGTGGTTGTTGCTGTTGTTGTTCTTGTTTGCATTCCACATTGTTGTTGTTTTATTCTCTCTATTAGTTGGCATATTAACTGTAGTCGACTTAGTGTGTTTTTATTTGTCTCTTTTTTGAGGGGGGGGGGTCCTTTTCTTTTCCTTTTTTTTTCTTTTAATTTTCATCTTCTTCCTCCTTTCCCTTCTCTTTCTCTTTATCCTCATCCATCTTCCACTTTACCTCTACTTACACCTCCTATCTACCTCCCCTTCCTCCTCCACCTCCACTTCATCCTCCCTCTTCACCATCACCACGTCCTCCTCCTCCACCACTTCCTCCCCCTCCTCCTCCTCTTCCTCTTCCTCTTCTTCCTCCTCCTCCTCCTCCTCCTCCTCCTCCTCCTCCTCCTCCTCCTCCTCCTCCTCCTCCACCACCACTTCCTCCCCCTCCTCCTCCACCACCACTCTACATCCACTTCCTCCTCCATCTCTACCACCACCACCACCACCTCCTCCTCCTCCTCCTCCTCCTCCTCCTCCTCCTCCTCCTCCTCCTCCTCCTCTTCCACCACCACCACCTCCTCCTC